AGACATGTAGCTGTACATGTAGCACTGTGCTGCATGTCTGCTCCATTTGCATGTTTTTCTGCTCGACTGCCTGCCTCTCCTCCACCCCAACATGCAGCTCGCCCATACCTGCCTCCTGTGACTTAATGCGCTGTACGCACAAACCCATGTCTCCAGCTTTTATTGTTTGTGTCAGGACAGCTGTGTCTTACCTGTGGGTGTATTAAAGTAGACTGTGCGTGTTTAGATTTGGAAAATGAACCTAAATCTACCTAAATCTCTTCTTGTCTCATGGTCTCGGTGCAGCTGTCAGCCAGTTTATGCACGTGGGGAGAAAGGAGGAGGATGCTGCCGCTCCGCTGTGACCACACTGTGAAACTAGCTCTGAACTCTCTAGAGGTCAAACTGACAAACCTCCAGGGCTAGTTAATGGATATAAAAGTACTTATTGATCCTTTATCAGCATTTGGAACCTGCAGTCACTTCTGCAGTGGTTGTGTTTGCTAACAGGTGATCTCAAATAAGTTTCAGTAAAGGAAGTTAAACCATGAGCCAAGAAGAGTCAGGACAAGTCGATTTCCAGCTGTATAGCCCAATATCATCAATCACAAGGGGGGTGATGATCTGTGCAGCATCGAGTGTGACACCCTCTGGCCTTAGACCCCCACCACCACACACACACAGAGAGAGAAAAATGGAACAAGGGGAAAGAGCTGATCAGTTTTTGATGTGGATCTACATGGATTAGTATGAACACACAGAGGTTATGGAGAAAATGAAACTGTGGTGTCAAATGACTAATCCCTGCAGTACAGAGAACATAAAGGTAAACAGTATGGGTGACATGAGAATATGTGTTAAAGGGAAGCACGTCCACATTTCTCTGTCCAACATCGAGACAAGCCTGCAGTAAACTGAAGTGGCTTTGTGTTCCCCTGGATTACTTTGCACTCAGTGTGAAGTCCCTGTAGCAGCCGGGCCTGGAGTCCTCTCAGGCCAGTTCAGGAGGAGCACACAGGATGTTGCAGCAGCTGTTTCGAGGTGCACTCACTTCACATTAGCATTATAAGGTTGCCGTGGTGATTAAAGTTGCCCTTCCAGTGCTATACCATGCTGTACACTGGTTCAGTCCTGGTCAGTTCCAGCTGCATGTAAACCAGTACGTAGGCTAATTTGTTGTTGCCCTTCAGTTGTTTTTTTTTTTTTTTTTTTTTTTTTTTTTTTTTTTTTTTTTTTACAGTAATGGTGGATCTTTGGAGTGTAGAATAGCAGCAAACGTTAGCAGCATAGATTTTCTCTGACCTGGTCCCTGACTTGACCCCTTAGTGCCACAACTCTCTGCTTTAACAGCTCTGTGCGGCAGCGGTGCACAGTGAGGTCGCGCTGAGCCGACCCGCTGTCAGGAATGGCTGTAACATCACTGGTTATTCACCGTGGCTCTTGTGCTACTTTGTTGTGTTATTTTGTTCACTGATGTGTGAGTGTATAAGCTACTCATCAAAATGCATAACGAATGTGTTTTTCCTCCTAAAACACTGAATTGCTTGTTTACAGCGCTAGCAGTCGTTGACTTCTGTTTCCTGACACAGTGCAACATGTCTTGGTGTGTTACCTATGGATCAGTATGAAACCACTGGCAGGACTGTGTGTTGTGTCGCTCGCCTGCATGTGTGCAGATTTTCTGTCATGATGTGGGACCTGTCGATGCAGGTTACTCTGAACATCCAGCAGATCAACATTTTTCTGCTATTAAGGTGACACACAGAGTTGTGCAAACCCAGTGCAGGTGTTCTCTCTCTGGGTGTTTAAGTTTTCACTGTGTGTTGGTTACAGACCTGTTAGTTGGTTTCAAGTTACTATTGTCTGTGTAAATGCATGTGGGAGGTGCTTCAAGTGACATTTTAGTGCAACAAAACTGCTTTGGAAAGCAGAGACTTGGAGGCAGGCACCGAGAGGCTGCCAGTGGAGGGCCGCATAGCACAGCAGTGTCACACCCTGTGCTGTTTGAACAAACCAGGACACGCTGAACTCTGTGTGTGATTAGCCTTGACGACAGCGTTTCGATGACAGATCCATGTGTTTGGTGTTTAGTCTCAAGAAACCAGTGTGAGAAATTCCAGTTATTCCTCTGGCACTGTTCCACGCCATCTGAAGAGACAAACCTTCAGTTTTAATAGCACATTGTGACATCAGAGGGCGGCACACAGTCTGGAGACCTTAAATGTGACCATAATGCTCAGCTGTTCAGAGCGTCACACGTGTATCCAGGCATTCACGTGGAGAAAAACAAACAGAAGCTGCAGCCGACCCAACATGGCCGCCACCCCTCCTCCTGGTGTCACCTTTGTCAGAACAAGTCTGTGTGCTGCAGCAGCACTGGCTGGGTTCAGCTGCTGTGAGCCAGTCTGAGGAGGTTTCAGCCAGATGCTGTGTGTAGACAAGGCAACCACTCACACAAGTACACACGGTCACACCCTCAGGAACACCGTGTCACCCGGTTAACAAGGCGCCAGGCCATCACAGTGTCAGTGCAGCACCTCCAGATGGAGCAAGCACACCTGGGCTGCCAGGACTCCTCCTCCTCTTCTTCTTCTTCCTCTCAGTGCCTGCTACATTTAATTGGGATCTGGAGTCGCTTACTGCATCCAACCGTAAGTGTTCATGATGAGATGGAGTTGCAGCTGAGAAGGAAAGTGAAAATGTGGCTGTATGTGATACATAAGAAGCTTCCTGTATTGGTGTTTGTGGTCTGACCCTGGTAGAAACAGGCAGTGACGGCTGCAGGACGTTCGAGTCACTCTGAAACAGCGCAGGTTTTTATCCTGTTGTGAGCTCTGGACAGAGGCAGGGACTCATCAGTGGTTTGACTCTGGTGCAGACAAGTCTGTCACTGAATGTTGCTCAGCTGAAGTTTGCATTGAATTACATCAAGTTTGCTTTAGTGTGCATTTCAGTAGTGGCTGGATGTGTGGAAAACAGAAAGACCAGACTCTACAAGGCTGAGCAGGCTGAACTCTGATCGACTGATCTCTCATCGTGAGCTATATTAAGAAGTCAAGTATGCTTTCATCCTGTGGTATGCTCCGCTGCCAGTGCAGCCGTCCTTTCTGGACGCTCATCAGTCTGCTTTCTCCTGCTTTTACTTCTCTCACACTAAACTCTTGCCAGTTACATTTTAGCCCGCTGTCGAACTGATTCATCAGCTAATGATTTCAGCCCTAAAACATTTAGCTTCTCGTTCGGAATAGAGCTGAAGCTGAAATGATTCCATTTATTCATCTGGAGATTGTTAGTGTTTCGGTGTGAAATGTAGGAACACTGTTATTGTTTCCTATACTTTTTCTTCTTCTTCTTTTTTTGTAACATTTTTATTTGCTGCCATTTTTGAGCGATGTGCACCAAATGTCGTGTTGTCCCGTGAGGAATAGCCTTCTATGAATTTTCTTGTGGATTTGTCCAACGGAAATATTTTTTCAAGTTTTTTTTAATAT